GGAGCGCAGGGTAAGGTAAGTGAAGAACACATGCCGGAGCAGCGCCGCATGGTATTCCCGAGTGTAGCTCAGGGTTACCGCTTTTGGTACTGAAATGTTACCCCGAGCTACACTCGGGAATACCGCCAAGGAGGTTAAAGTGTTACTAAACCCACAACAGTAAAATCAGTCTGTATATGCAGTAAAGCATGCTTGTTATACTCACTGTGGAACCTAAGGGATTAATCCTACGCATTGTGTAAAAAGGGTGCATGATCCTGTCATCTCTGATCCTTCCCTTTTTCCACAGTACCCAATCCCTCTGCTGATAGCACAGAGCTCTAAGAGCCACTCTGCACATGCTCAGTTTAGTGTGCATTGCTAAAGTTTTTTTTTCTTTGGGAAGGTGCATGTGATCAGCACAGGGCCAATCAGCACTGTCCAGACAGAGGGTCAGGGGTCATGCAGCCTCATAGGACAGTCAGAGCTGAATGAAAACTCCTCCTACAAGCTTTAACCAGTGCTCAGCTGGACACTGATAGTAGTCACATGACTACTATATAATGCTGATGAGAAAAGGTATCTATCAGTTTATATTTACTAAAATAACTGCATTTCCATATTGTGTGTACTGTGTACTGTGGGAGAACAGATATAGTGAATGCAGGGTCCAGGGTTTAGTATCAGTTTAACTGAACGCTTGTTCAGTTAGAAGCTGAATGGTTTCAGTCCCAGTAAAGACTGGACAGGCTGTGCCCGGAATGCTCCAAGTGGGACATTAGTCGTCCCCCCCTCCTCCTACAACCTCTTATCCCCACCCTCCCTCTTCCCCCCCAACCCTTTTTTTTTTCTTTCCCCCTTCCCCTTGTTTCTATTTTCTGACATTCTCCTCCTGGAAAATGTGCTCTAGTGACCCAAGCCTGCATGGTCTGGACACTGGCAAATGCACCGGAGTAGGGAGGCCAAGAAATTGTGTGCTATATGGCTTTAGGCCTTATGGTTGTAATTATATTACCTGTATAACCAATATCCCCATGTTCCAAGTGCTGTACAACAGGACGCAGTTTTGTTAGACATGGTGCTTTTCACTGCTTGTATCTTGTGCTCATAAAGCTTGTTGTTGTTCCACCATGTCAGGTGGACTGTTAACCATGATTTTGTGACATGTCCTATGCCAGGGAGCAAAGTAAAAATAAAAAAAAAAAAAAAAAAGAAGCTGATTAGCTATCATGCACAGCTGCACCAGATTCCGAGTGCACCAGTTTTAGTAAATCCACCCGATTGTGACATGGCCCTTAGGCTGGATTCCAACCTACATGCACACATTGACACATATTGTAATGCATACCAATGTTTGATGGACACGCATATTGTGCATGTGTTTTGGACATACTCCCATTTAGTTTCAGAGTTCAAATATTTTATCAGGTAACCTGAAAGCCATCCCATAAAGATTGTTAGCCAAAAATGAATAAGAGACACAGAGAAATACAATGTGAACAGTTTGGATCTGAACACTAGTCCCTCTCTGGGGGATAAGCTTAGATGTGCTAAAAAGGATCTAACAGGTGATGGCATATAACACTGTAAGCATGTTAAAGGCAAAAGAAGCAAAAGAGCCGACAACTGGATGTCCACCCCAGCCATAGCTCAGGAAACAGTAAGGATTGGGCAGCGCCAAACTGGTATGCAGTAAAGGACCAAAAATCAAGAGTGGAATTAAAAGAGTGATAGAAAAAGGAGTAAAGGAGGGGAAGGTGGGAGTGTGATTCGAGGGTACGCTCAGACAAGGGTCCCAGGGCTCAAACTGAAGGAAAAATATTGAGCTTGGTTAAGGCTCTGCTCCCACTTAGTTTAATGTACCCCCATTGCCCACCTATGTAGTAAACAATGCACCGGACCCTTTAAGCACCAAATGTGCTATGTTGCAAGGCAAATAGAGTAAGGCATGTTTTTTGATGTGTGGATGCACTTTGAGGACCAAATAATTAAGGGGCACAGGCAGGGCTGGTGCTTCCACTAGGCATACTAGGTGGCCACCTATTGTGCACTGCAGCCTAGGGGTGCCTGGGTGCAGCACAGGCTGGCACTCTCTCTGTGTGGGACGTCTCATCATGAATGATCCTTCAGCTGAGAGGAGAGGTGACAGAGGGGAGGAAGAAAGGACAGAGGAAGATGCCGGGTGTCTGGGGCCAGTGTAGCAGCTGAGCTACAGCTCTAGTGTTCGACTCAGTCAATTACTGCAAGCCGACTGGTGGCTGCTGATCACTGTGAAGCATCCATGAAGGCGGAGCTGCGCCTGCGGAGGAAGGTAATGTCTGACTCTGATGTCTCGTGTCTGTGTGAGTGTGACCCAGCTGGCCATCCATCACATGCGATATCATCACAGTGAGTGATGACATCATCACGATCCCACAGCCTGCTCTTCTAGTGCCTGCCTGGCCTGCTGATCTGTGTCAGTGTTGGTGGTGGTGAGTTGTGTCAGATCTGTCACTGTGTGAGATCGCTCAGCTCAGCTGCCAAATTTGGTTATAAATTTAGGCTAAAATGTATTCTGATACGTCTTTGCTAAAAAAAATCCCAATACATGTAAATTAATTGGTTTACATGAAAGTTATAGCATCAAAAAATGGCGATATACTGTATATACTGGATTTTTTTCTTTTTTTTATACTAGTAATGGCGTTGATCAGTGACTTATAGCAGGACTGTGGGACTACGGCGGGTATTTGGACACTGGGGGGAATTGACTACCTGCCACTGACATCCCAATGGCACTAATACAGTGGTCAGTGCTAATAAAAAGCACTGATGCTGTACTAATGACACTGGGCAGGAAAGAATTAACATCTGGGATGATCAAAGGGTTAACTGTGTGCTCTTTTACTGTATGTACTGTGTGTGTTTTACTATGTAAACATGCTACTGTGTATTTCTCTGCTATGCAGAGATGCACACAGCATGTTACTGCTGGCAGGAGAGAGAACTGTGTGATCCCGGTGATCGACATCTGCAGCCACCAAAGGCGGTGCAGGTAGGGCGGCACAAGCGCACCCCCTACCTGGAAATGCGAAATCACGTGCATATACGTGATTTTGCGCAGCCCTGCAGCCGTAGTTCTGCTATAGGGCGGTCGGGAAGCGGTTAAAAGAAACGTACCAGTTTCATGTTTTGTTGATTTAATATTTTGTACATTTTTTTTTTAGGGGGGCGCAAGTAGCTGGTCTTGCCTAGGGCACAAAATAGTCTAGCACCAGCCCTGGGCACAGGTACCATAACATCCATCATCAAATTGAGCAACACACATAAGTATGAATTGGCCCTTAGTAAACCGTCAACAAAGTTGCTACACCTCTCTGTTATGCTTTTGCCATCATTATCAACTAAATTGATTAGGTTTTACCCATAAAAATATAAGATAATTACCCCTGTACAAATAATTAGTAACACCTCATCTGCAGTTCCGTTTTGGGCACCAATTCACAAAAAGAACATTGGGGAACTGGAGAAAGTACAGAGAAGTGCAACCAAACTGATAAGAGGCATGGAGGAGATCAGCTATGAGGACAGATTAGAGGAACTGAATTTATTCTCTCTTGAGAAGAGGAGATTAAGGGGGGATATGATCAACATGTATAAATACATCAGTGGTTCATATAGTGATCTCGGTGTAGTTATTCACCCTGAGGTCATCACAGAGGACAAGGGGGCACTCTTTACGTCTGGAGGAAAATAAATTTAATCTCCAAATACGGAAAGGTTTCTTCACAGTGAGAGCTGTGAAAATGTGGAATAGACTCCCTCAAGAGTTGGTTCTGGCCAGCTCAGTGGATTGCTTTAAAAAAGTCCTGGATTCTTTCTTAGATACACAGAATATAACTGGATACTAACATTCACTGGTAAAGTTGATCCAGGGAATATCTGATTGCCCCTCAGTGGATCAGGAGGGATTTTTTTTCCCCTGCAGGAGCAAATTGCATCAGGCTTTGCTGTTTTTTTTTGCCTTCCTCTTGATCAACTGTGGGTATAGGATTATAACTTTTTTTTCTTTATATGGTTGAACTGGATGGACTTTTGTCATTTTTCAGCCAGACTAACTATGTAACTATGTAATATGTAACATCACATGGCAATGTGGCATGGAAGATTCCGCCATTGGTGAAATAAAAACACAAAAATTCCCGTGGCGTCACATGCTCACTGCCCGAACCAGCAAGTGATATGTCACTCGTCTTTTACTAGTATTTAGGTTCAGGACTGCATCAGAGTATTGTCTACTAGTGATAATAGAAGTTCAATTTGAATGATTCCACCACTGGACTGATGAAGATTTTGATGGAGGATGCAGCACTGGAATGAAGCGAAGGAAGGAGAGACAGGCACCTGATGAAGTAAGTATAACAGTTTTTCTATCGTATGGAACTGACCTTTACATTATTTACTTTAAGTGATGGACTGGGCTGCTTTAAAAAACTACAGCAGTAAACAGGTATTAGCAAAAATTCACAATTCTTTTCACACAGATAGATTATTTAAACTGATCGAGCTGGCAAAGCCCAGGAGTCGGGTGACCTAACTTCTGGCACCTAACTTTTTTTTTGTTTGGATTTTTATTGTTGAAGGCTGCCATTGCTGACTTAGCCTTCTGTAAATGTTAACTGTACCAACAAGGGAAAGTGGCCATTGGGTTGATTTACTAAAAGCAAATAGGATGTTTACTTTACAAGGGAAGATGCACTTTACAAGAGAACTTTTCCCAGAGCTTAGTAAATGATGTGAAGCTCTGCTGACTTCCATTATCCAATCATGTGCAATCAAAAAAGCTGTTTTATTTTCCTTATGATTATGATTATCATTTGCAAAATTAAACTTCACCACATTCACAAAGCTATGGGACAAATCCTCTTGCAAGTGCAACTTCCCATACAAAATGATCAGCATAATTGAACCTGGTCTGTACTCTTCTCCATCTCCCCGCTACAAGGATCTCTTACTAGCGGTATCTGCTGAGGTCTGAAGTTGCCCCTGGGCAATAGGGGATCATGGGGCCCCTGTGCCCTCGCCCACACTCAAAAAACACCCAAAAAAGCCTGTGAAAGGTACCAGGGGCATCTCTTAGGGCCCCCTACTGACCCCGGGCCCTCGGGCAGTGCCCGAATTCCCAAATGGTCAGCCCATCCCTGATGTAGAAGTATATTGATCTGTAGTGATGGATAATGGTTTGGGTTTTTTTTCAGTTCAGTGATAGGAGAATGCCAATCACTACACTCTATGGAAAATTTACCAATCCTGAAGTGCAAACTGTTCCATTCTCAGACATGGACAGGGATTTAAATTTATTTTCCTGAGAAGTAAAACACTTGGGAAAAAGCTTGGATGTCAGTGAGCCAGCACTGTCCATTGTTAACCACTTTTGGACACTTTCACCCACTTCCTGTCCAGGCCTATTTTCAGCTTTCAGTTCTATCACACTTTGAATGACAATTGTGCAGTCATGCAGCACTGTACCCATATGAATTTTTAGCATTTTTTTGAGACAGATAAAACTTTATTTTGGTGTTATTTATTCACCACTGGGATTTTTATTTTTTTTTGCTATATAAATGAAAAAGTCCAAACATTTTGAAAAAAAAGTGTTTTTCTTATACAATTTTGCAAATAAATAATCTTTCTTCATAAATCTTGGCTAACATTTATTCTGTTATCTTTTTAGTAAAAAAAAAAAATAACCCAAATTAGTTTAGAACCAAAAATTATAATTTTTCAAAAAATGTTTTTACATTTTTATTTAATTGTTTTATATTATTATTTATGTTATTTTTAACATACTGTCACCCTAGCAGTACAGTGTCACCATAGTGACACTGTACTACTTGAGGGGGGGTGATGAAGATTTTTTTTTCTTACGCTGATTGCTTTTACAACCACAAAGGCTGTAAAAGCAATCATTTCTCCTTCTCTCTGGCTGCATTCTTGCAGCCATTGAGAAATACTGTGAGAGCCGTGATTGGTCACAGCTTGTCACATGGTACAAGGCTGTTGTGAATAGCCTTGTACCATGTGACCTCTGTGATCATTTACAGATTTCACAAGACATAAGCAATGATGTCAGGAAGTGAAATATTGCTTACTATTATTAATGTGATCACTGATTGGCCAAACAGTGATCACATAATCGGGACCTCACACAGCAATTGGTCCTGTACAGCGATTGGTGTTCCACTGTGTCCTCCGGACACAGCGGGCACCGGATCGCTGTGCTGCAAGCTCCCAGGGAATGCGCACAGGCTGTGAATGCGGGCACCATTTATAAATGGCAACCTGCTCCTGCACTGCTCCAGTCTGGCCATTTATGTACATGGGCCGGACGAGAAGTGGTTAAAAAAAATTCTCAGGTGGGTTGATTTACTAAAAACTAATGGGCTGTTCACTTTGCAAGGGAATTTGCATTCTGCTTTGGAAACTTCCCCACAGCTTAGTGAATGAGGTGAAACTCTGCTGACTTCCATCAGCCAATAATGTGCAAGCAAAAATGTGGTTTTATTTGCTTGGCATGTGATTGGGTATTCTTGGCAAAGTGAAATTTCACCACATTCACTAAGCTCTTGGGAGGAGCAATTTTTCTTGCAAAGTGAACAGCCTATTTGCCTTTGTTAAATCAACCCCTATTTGTTTTCTGCACACCTTAAATGCTAAATATTTTTGGTATGTCTTGGAGATTAAGGGGGGATATAATGAACATGTATAAATACATCAGTGGTTCATATAGTGAACTCGGTGTAGAGCTATTCACCCTGAGGTCATCACAGGGGACAAGGGGGCATGCTTTATGTCTGGAGGAAAAGAAATTTAAATTCCAAATACGGAAAGATTTCTTCACAGTAAGAGCTGTGAAAATGTGGAATAGACTCCCTCAAGAGTTGGTTCTGGCCAGCTCAGTGGATTGCTTCAAAAAAGACCTGGATTATTTCTTAAATACACAGAATATAACTGGATACTAATATTTATAGGTAAAGTTGATCCAGGGAATATCCGATTGCCTCTCTGGGGATCGGGAAGGAATATTGTTTTCCAGCAGGAGCAAATTGGCTCATGCTTTCCTGGGTTTTTTTTGCCTTCCTCTGGATCAACTGTAGGTATAGGATTATAACTTTTTTTTCTATGGTTGAACTGGATGGACTTTTGTCTTTTTTCAGCAGACAAACTATGTAGCTATAGTGCCTGTTTGTAAAACATAAGGAAGAGGGCCAAAGACTGGTCATCAGTATCATCTTTGTTCTTTCTGCAGCTGACCTTTTTACTATTACGGACTTACTAATCCTTGGTCTGCACTATAGGCACTATCTCTATATGGGGTTTTGTTAACTCATATCACAGGCTCCAACAAGGAGAGCTGAGAGCAGCTCAGGAGTGACAGTCCCCAGAAGATTTGGAGTCCAGAATTTTCTGGGATATCAGTCAGAGGCAGCAGTGTCTTAAATCTCACAGTGCCAATATACAGCTATGAGGCTGTGGGCTCCGGAGTGCCTAGGCACACTCACATACCAGTAGTGTACTGCAACGTTTCAGAAGGAATTTCTGGGACCTGGACATCAACAGCTGTAGCAGCCAATGGTGGTGCTCGTAGGGCGCTGCGCACGCCTCCTACCCGGAAATACAAAATCATGTATATATACACGTGATTTTGCGCTGCCCTGCTGCCCTGTATCAGTAGTTCTGCTATAGGGCGTTCGGGAAATGGTTAATATTCCTCCCACTGTTAGGGGAGAACACAAACTGCATTCAGGGCAGAGTATACATCCCTGTATGCAAGCATCAGTTGGATGTGTGTATATCTGCGTAAAGCCGCTGCATATTTCAGCCTGTCATTGATTTTGGCCTCTTGCACACGGGCATCATAATTTACTGATGTTTGCACAGGAACTTGTGACATCCGTGTGCAAGAGGCCAAAAACTGTGAGTAAAGACCTGAGTAATGTTGAGTATAGGCGAATAAAGGTGTGTAAGGGCTCATATACACTTCAGCTGCTAAACTGAGGTTCAGGAGCTGTTGAGCGTTTTTTTTCAGCAGCCCCTGAACTCTCCTTTATGTTTTCCTGTGTGTCCATGTACACATAGTTGTTTACAGTCATTTACAGGCAGTTGAGTTTAGTCATTTTTTTTAATGCACCAAAATTGTGTTCAGGAGTAGATTTTACCGGCATTTCAAATGCCAAACGCTTGTAAACGTGTGTAAACTAGTGTCTAAATGCGTCTTTTGACTGGTCCATATCCAGATGCTATCTAGAGCCTTTTTTCTTCATCAAAAATGCATGCACAGCATTTTCCATGTATTCAAATGGACCGGTACACCAGCGCAGTCAGTTCCAGGTTTTACATGAAGGAAAAAAATGGTAGAACGTGCCGCATTATGCTCATGATGGGATCCATAGTGAATACAACCAGAAAACACAGTTCATCTCAACACATACTGCTCTCTCTGCTTCTGCTCTCTATTTCTCTCAAAAAATCTCAAAATAGTTAATTATTTACTATTTTTCAGTGCATTCTGGGCATTTGGGAGGGTCACGTGAGGTTATCTTTTAAAAATGCTTCTAATCACAAACACGCATAAACGCGGCTAAACCCACATAAAATGCAGTATGCAAACGCAGCTAAACTGATGTTTTTTAACCTACGTTTTCTAGTAGTCAGTTTCTAGTGGTCAGAAGAGTTTTCCAAACGCCCCGTGTACATGAGCCCTAAGCACATAGATTCCTGTTCCTGAGTAAATTATGACATTACTCAACATTACTCAGGTCTTTACATACAGTTTTTGGTCCCTTGCACATGGGCGTCACAGGTTCCTGAGCAAACATCAGTAAATTATGACATTACTCAACATTACTCAGGTCTTTACACACAGTTTTTGGTCCCTTGCACATGGGCGTCACAGGTTCCTGAGCAAACATCAGTAAATTATGACATTACTCAACATTACTCAGGTCTTTACACACAGTTTTTGGTCCCTTGCACATGGGCGTCACAAATTCCTGAGCAAACATCAGTAAATAATAATATTACTCAACATTACTCAGATCTGTACACACAGTTTTTGGTCCCTTGCACATGGGCGTCACAAGTTCCTGAGCAAACATCAGTAAATTATGACATTACTCAACATTACTCAGATCTGTACACACAGTTTTTTGGTCCCTTGCACATAGGCGTCACAAATTCCTGAGCAAACATCAGTAAATTATGACATTACTCAACATTACTCAGATCTGTACACATAGTTTTTGGTCCCTTGCACATGGCGTCACAAATTCCTGAGCAAACATCAGTAAATAATAACATTACTCAACATTACTCAGATCTGTACACACAGTTTTTGGTCCCTTGCACATGGGTGTCACAAATCCTGAGCAAACATCAGTAAATTCTGACATTACTCAACATTACTCAGATCTGTACACACAGTTTTTGGTCCCTTGCACATAGGCGTCATAAATTCCTGAGCAAACATCAGTAAATTATGACATTACTCAACATTACTCAGATCTGTACACACAGTTTTTGGTCCCTTGCACATGGGCGTCACAAGTTCCTGAGCAAACATCAGTAAATAATGACATTACTCAACATTACTCAGATCTGTACACACAGTTTTTGGTCCCTTGCACATGGGCGTCACAAGTTCCTAAGCAAACATCAGTAAATTATGACATTACTCAACATTACTCAGGTCTTTACACGCAGTTTTTGGTCCCTTGCACATAGGCGTCACAAATTCCTGAGTAAACATCAGTAAATTATGATGCCGTGAGAAAGGGGCCTTATACTTATGACACCCATGGGCAAGGGGAGAAAACAAGTAAATATGCAAGTAAATTACTGCACTAAAAAAGAAAAATTTTCTATTTTTGTTTTACTCATGCCCAATAGACAAAAATGAATCTCATTTCAAAACGCAGCATTTTTCACTCCTGTGTGCAACATTGGCAGGCTGCTGGCAGCGCGCTGTATGCTGCATCTGTGGTTCCCAGGTAGAGAATTACACCTTAATGTAAGCTGAACAACTCTTTTGCATCCGTGTGCATGAAGGCCTAAAATTGTTTATACTTCCCCATTCTATCAAAAACGGAAAATAAAAGTTTTGGCTGAGCACACACTTTTAAATTCCTAAGACAATATAAATGTCAACTGTGTAAATCAACTTTTATTTTACCAGAGTTAATTCAGTACAAATCAAGAAATCATTGTGTATACAATTTAAAACTGGATCACTTTAAATGTCCACATGATTAAAATTGGCATTCTGTCAATATAACTCTCCTCTTAATCTGGACAGAATGTTTGACTATTTAGTAAACATTGCATATTTTACATCAATTTAAAACCCTGCCATCTGTCATGTTATCTTTTGTCTCTGATGTTTTGTATACTTATTGAAAAATAATGTGATTTTCCAGTTATAAAAGTGCTTTTGATACGTACCCCAAGACATAGAAATCGGTCAGGGACTTGTAACTCACCAGACAGACATGTCATATGATTACACTGTATTTGAAGCTGATCAATACACTTGTTTTTCGGCAGATAAAACTATAGCTATTTGCCAAGTTATTGCTTTATTCATTCCCAGCCTAACATCTGCTGTGTATTTTTGTTTACATGCTGCTTGTCAAATCTTACTGTCCCAAAGGTGTTTATAAGAGAAGCTTCAGCAGTCACTTTCTTAAATCCTAATGCCTATCTAAATTTGGATTCTTCCACCACTGAGCAGAATGACAACCACACGATCGCTGTATTTAAAGCAATTTTTCCACCGCTGTTTTGATTTGCAGCCGATGCCGTTTATTGACGTTGTATGCCTGTTGGCTCAGTGGCTTGTGAACAAAAGACAGACTTTCAAACTGATGTTAAATTCTTTGATTGGCAAAATTGGTCAGTACAATCAATGGGTTTTCATTTAAAAATAAAAAGGGAGGGGGGATGTTACAAGGTCAAACACAATCTAAAAGCTGGTTTGCAGAAAAGAACTTTAATAATGTTAAAAGCAAAATATTAAGAATGTTGTTATAGGGGAATTTTTTTACTAACAGACAGTTCAATTTCTGTTTTGTAACCCCATAGAACAGTGGTCTCCAAACTGCAGCCAGGGGCTGGATGCAGCTTTTTGCTTGCTTTTATCTGGCCCTTGGGGCATTATTCCCCCCACCATCAGCAATAGTGGGGCATAGTTTCTGCCGCTGACACCACCAATGGGGTACTATTCATTCCACTGATGCCAATAATGGGGCATTATTCCTTTCCACTGACACCAAATGATGGGGCATTATTCCTTCCACTGACACCAATGATGGGGCATTATTCCTTCCACTGACACCAATGATGGGGCATTATTCCTTCCACTGACAACAATGATGGGGCATTATTCCTCCCACTGACACCAATGATGGGGCACTATTCCTTCCACTGACAACAATAATGGGGCACTATTCCTCCCACTGACACCAATGATGGGGTACTATTCCTTCCACTGACAACAATAATGGGGCATTATTCCTCCCACTGACACCAATGATGGGGCACTATTCCTTCCACTGACAACAATAATGGGGCACTATTCCTTCCACTGACACCAATGATGGGGCACTATTCCTTCCACTGACAACAATAATGGGGCATTATTCCTCCCACTGACACCAATGATAGGGCACTATTCCTCCTACTGACACTAATGATAAGGCACTATTTCACTCACTGACACAAGTGATGGGGCACTTTTCCTCACACTGACATCAATGATCGGGCACTATTCCTCCTACTAACACCAATGATGGGGCACTATTTCGCCCACTGACACCAGTGATGGGGCACTATTCCTCCCACTGACACCAATGATGGGGCACTGTTCCGTCCACTGACACCAATAATGGGACATTATTTCTCCTACTGAAACCAATGATAGGGCACTATTCCTCCCACTGACAGCAATGATGGGGCACTATTCCTCCCACTAAAACGGATCATGGGGCACTATTCCTCCCACTGACACCAATGATGGGGCACTATTCCTCCTACTGACACCAATGATGGAGCACTATTCCTTCCACTGACACCAATAATGGGACATTATTCCTCCCACTGAAACCAATGATAGTGCACTATTCCTCCCACTGATAGCAATGATGGGGCATGAAACCAATGATGGGGCACTATTCCTCCCTCTGACACCAACAATGGGAAACTATTTCTCCCATTGATACCAGTGGTGGGGCAATATATCTCCCATTAATAACAATAATGAGGCATTGTTTACTCCAACTGATGCCAGGACATTTTCAGCTCCCACTGGTCACAGTCTGGCCCTCCCCTAAAGTCTGAAGAACAGTAACCTGGCCCTTCATTTATAAAGTTTGGAGATGCTTGCCATAGAAGACTGTACCAAATTATTCTTGTGTGTCATATTTATCCTAAAATGGTGGATATCATAGCACAAAGGATACAGAGCACAGCACAGAGGTAACATCAGTGTCAGCTGCCATTGGTGTCTGCACAAGGATGGGTAATCTTACAATATTTCTCAATAATTTAAAGTGGTTGTAAACCAAACATGATCAACCTTTTAAAATTCTGTAAAGCACTATCTCATCAAAATTGAAGCCTTTGGGGCATATACTAATCCATTTAGGGCAGGGGGTCTCAACTGGAAGTATCCATAACTGTACCTTCTTTCTAGACATTGCCTGCATTGACAAACGCCAAAAACTTCACTAGTTGCCCAAACACAAAAAAGCCTATGAAAAAGGTATCAGGGGCATCTCATGGGGCCCCCTACTGACCCCCTGGGCAATAGGGGATCATGGGACCCCTGTGTCCTTGCCCAAAACCAAAAAGCCTATAAAAAAGGTACCAGAGGCATCTCATGGGGTCCCCTACTGACCCCGGGCCCTCGGGCAGTGCCCGAGTTTTCAAATGGTCAGTCCACCCCTGATGATGACAATTTCTACAGTCTAGTAAAGGGACATACTGGGTGATCCACTGGGGCTCTGTAACTGTAAAAAGGTTAAAACCTCCTATTTTAAAAGGAAAATATACTATTTAACTGTTTTAACCCTTTGAGGACCGGAAGATTTTGGAACGCCAAAAGAATCAATTTTTTTGTTTTTAAAGTTCGTACACTTCAGTTGCTGTAACTAAGCCATTTCATGAAATAATTGGCAAAAAGCTAGATCCATTTGTTGTTTGTTGATAAGAACTAATATTTTTGACTCAAACCAAAAAAAAAAAAAGAGTTTTAAGTTCTTAATCAGATGATACACGCAATTAAAAACATGGGACAAATACGTCCCTTGGTCCTCAAAGGGTTAATCATTTATGTAAATGGGATGATCTTAATGTACTAGTGCAGAAAAATATCTTTACAGGTATAGTTTTCAATGACACACATGCATGTTGGCAGCCCTATTTATTCATTAAAAAAGCAGGCTTTTCTTCTAGTTTAATAATCCTGCACAGTGGTTGTTGTCGTGTGGCTGAGATTTTATATGAACAATTTAGTTACTACTCACTTGGAGCCAGCCACTAGAGGGAAAATCTAAAAAATGTGTAATGTAATAAGAGCAATATGGAGCAGAGCACTTGCAAAAAAATGAAATTAAAAAAAATTATTTCAAAATAAACATTTGAGTAATAATTTAAATTAGATGCCATTGCTCACAGAAAATCATCTATAGTTTCTCAAAAATACATTAAAAATGTATCTTGGTAAATCTGTTCTAATAAGACAACAAATTACAACATTTTTCTTTCTTCCTTTCTGTGTGTATCCTTAGCTGAACTGGAAACTTTGCTGCAATGGAAATTACTTGAAAAACAATGCTCTACTCTCTTTCCTTTTATTTACAGGATGTGTTTTTTGGGGTGGTGTATTTAGGGTAGTGCAATTTATGTTATTCAATGTTCTTTGTATTTGTGTTTTTTGTCCTTTTTTGTGTATTTGATCATTATTTCTCTAATGTTGACTTTAATTTTTTTTTCCTGTCTTTCTACTTTTTTTTACAAAAAGTGAAAAACAACAAGTCAAATGATGGGCCATTTTGGGGTATAACAACAGATCTTGGAAAGCTGAAAAGAGCTTTCAAAAGCCTTGTGAGCCATTTAAAGAACACTGGATCCATAAAAAACACAAAACCCATGTTAATTTTATCTCCCTCTTTGGCTCCAATGCATTTTTAAAAATTTCAAGTCTTCTTAAGCCAAAAGTTTACAGTAAAATAAAAAAAACCCCACATACAAATATATATATATAAATGTCAAGTTCATTTTCTTCCCATATATGGATATGTTTACTACATAGATTAAATACTATTGTTGGCTCTTTAGTTGTGCTTATTTTAGGTTTTCGAGCCCTTGACATTTCAGTTTTAAATTTTTAATTACATTCTTTTTTTTAGAAACCCGCTATTCAGTAACATGTACGTAGAAAATAATATAAGCCCCCCTCCGGTTTCTTAAATACAACGTGAGTCATGTCTTCCCATACACTGAACAAAGTAGCTGAGCATTAAATATGCTTGACGATCTTCTGCTTGAGCAAGTGGACCTAAACGGTGTGAAGTGTTAATGCTCTGCAGCTTTGCTTCCTGGCTGGTGATTGATCATTTGTAAGTATATCTACTCCGTGTTCCATGAAATCAAGTTTGCCGTAATGGGTTCATCAGATTTTTGGGTTAAATTGAGAGTGAAGAGGTACTGTGTATTGAAATAAGACTTGCCATGTTCCGGGCTGGCCTCGAAACAGCATGGCTTCTAAAGGCGATATTCAAAACCACTTCACTTATCACACGCTTGCTGATTCTGAATAGGGTCCGATGGCGGGGGACATTTGGGAGTTTTCCAATACACTTTAAGTCTGTTGAGCTTCCACCAATGAGGCCATCTCTTTGGAGTTAACAGGCGAGTGTAACATGTCAATGTATAGGACTATGTTAATTAAATATCGTAGTGCATGAAATGGCACACTTGAAAGGGGCTTTTTTTTTTTTTTTGCAATGGAGAGAATTGTAACCATAGAAAACCCTGCATTCACCACAAATCCACCTACACAGTACCGTGTATTTTCCTACAAATTCAATATTATTTGCTTGATGCCAGGTCCTTTGGAAAGACAAAGTAGCAGCTGCAATTGAGTTACCCTTATATTTTTTTAGTATGGAGTTTAGTGTGTGGCATTTAAAAGATCTTCTGTGTGGCATTTAAAAGATCCTCTGTGCACAGTCGAAGCTCTCAAGAACAAAGGGAGGGATGGTTTGCTTATATTGTTATGTTAAGTGCCTAAAATAGTTTTTTGAAGGGATCACTCCAAGCAGAGGAATTGCAGTGTAATTCTGGGTAATGTGGTGTAAATGAACACACATGAACTTTTGTTCTGCTTTGTAAATGGAGATAGAGAGTGACTGCCACACTTACAGCTGTCTGGCCTCACTTAGAATCACTGTCATCCCCTAATGAGTGAACAGGCTACTCACTCTGTCTATAACCAACACCCTGAATGCGTAGGAGTCTTTATTTACAAAAATACTCCCAAATGTATACTGTACACTGGAAAATATTGATGCTGTAGTTTTTGTTTAGTTTTAGAAGTGTGCAATAAAATTGGTTCACTTAATGGAATCATTTTAAGCTTAATTTTAGCTTTACGCAAATAAATACACAGTTAAAATATACATAGATGAGGGGCATTCAAGTCAAACCGGGACTTTTGAGTTTATATAATAAAAGAACAAATTTCAAGGAGTTGAAACTGCATTTTTTTCAACATACTCCCCTGCTACATTTATACACTTATCCCAACGTTTAACTAATGCCTGGAAAGCTTCCGCATAGAAAGATTTGTCAGTACACCTGAACAGTGGCATCCCTAGGGTTGGTGTCACCTGGTGCCGGAACACTTGGTGACACCCCCCCTCTCTTTTCTCTGCCCTCTTTCTCCCCCCCCTCTCTCCCCCCTACCTACTACATGAAGCAGCAGTGTTGTCACCAGGGTCCGGGGATTACACACTGACCTGCTGCATACTCTGCCCACCCCTCCAGCTCTCCGACTTCAGCACCCGTGGCAGTGATATGGACCCGTCCCTCTGCTGAAACTCCGAGTAGGAGAGGTGTCCGAAGTGTCTGCCTCACTGTCCGTCCCCTCAAAGCTTGCTTATTTCAGCAGCGGCACATACAGGGACGGACTGAGCCTCTTATGGGGCCCTGTAGTGACCCCGGCCCTCAGTCAGTCCGCCACTGGTGGAGCGGGTCTGGTGTCACCCCCGTGCAAAAGGTGTCACCCAGTGTGGTGCGCAACCCCCGCACCTGTCTAGGGACACCCCTGCGCCTGAACCATCCTAGGACAGCCTGCTTCACTTCATCATCATTGTGTTCACCATTCTCACAGAAAGATTTGTCTCTTGTGTAATTTCACAACAGGTTATGTGTCAATTATACAGGATTAGGCTGCTGTGGGCTGGGAACCACCACGGTGGGGATCATCACTCACGGATGTACGGCCATCTTTGAAATGATTACACCATTCAAATGTCTTACATTGAGCGTCTCATCAAGTACTGTGCTTGAGGACTTCTGTAGATATCCGCAGGTTTTCGCTCACAAGAAACGTCATCACCACATGCTGTTCCATGCACACACTAACACCCTTGTCTGCCATCTTGATTAATGGCCTCTGGACTGGCCCACGACATGCGTGCCACCTCTAAGTAATAGGACACACTTGCCACTTACTACTGCAGGTAGTACCACCATGCTAGCATCCCTTTTTATACTTGTAAAACTAAAAGTTCAGTTTGACTTGAATGCCCATTGTAAATATCATCCAAATAATTTGTATTTCTGTTTACCCACCTTTGTGATTTACATACTTCTGCCAGACAGGACAACCAGTGGTAAAACACTATTTTCTTTTTTACAGCTAAAGAACACATTGCTGTCACCTCCCCACCCACAGCTTGCTGACTTTACCGTGAAAGAGCAGCAACACACTGATAAGTCATCCATCTGCTCCCTCTTCCATCAATCTACATGTTACCTGTCAGCACATGTGCATGTATCAGAGCCTGATTAGCTCTTAGTACTGCCTATCCTTCTCCCAGTTGGAGTGATGCTATGCAATGAATTTCAGGCAGCTGATATCAAGACAGATTCAGGCACCTTCAATGATAGCGTCCCAACTTCAGTCTCCAGCAGCCTGCTCATCTGCATTGGGTTCATTTGTTGTTCCTACATTTTCATAGTTGCTCTGTAGTTTTTTTCAGTTCCTAAACCTGGCCATGGTGTCTTGAACATTAGACTGTAGTTCAGTGGAACTAAACCCCCCTATGCTTTACAACCAACAAGGAAGGAAGTTGCCATCTTAGCCTGTTTGATCTACAGTTATCATGGTGCTTCACATGTAATCAGTGAAGACACCAGCCATTTGATGGTTTGACAGTTTGGTTGATAGCACAAGCAACTGTCAGAGTTCTTATTTATGGCAGGCCTTGAATGTACTTGTTTTGGGAAACAGTTAAATCAATAGGTTTAGCTCCTCTTTAATTTGTGAAGAAATGTGCCAGAACCAGCGGCGGACTGACCATTTGGAAACTCGGGCAGAGCCCTAGGGCCCGAGGTCAGTAGGGGGCCCCGTGAGATGCCCCTGGTACCTTTTTCATAGGCTTTTTTGAGTTTGGGCAAGGACACAGGGGCCCCATGATCCCCTATTGCCAGGGGGCCCCATTAGTTGTCAGTCCGCCCCTGGCCAGAACTATAAGAAATTTAAATAGTCAATCATGAACAGAGGAAATAA